CCACACACACACACACACCCAACAGCTTCAGAGGACAGTCGGAGCTGCCGAGGCGCGCTCAGACCCTGTCAGCCAGCGCCAACCCGAAACGACCCTCGCCGCCGTCTTTGGAGGCGCTCGGCATGCACGCACGTCGGTCCTCCTACTTTGGCTCCCATCAATCCAGCTGTCCTCCTCTTCTTCTCCGTTCAGATCGGGCCCTGATGTGAGCTGCTGTGGATGGCTGTTGTGTATGTTTGAAGTCTGTGCCAGCCTGGCTGAGCGCCAGCCGCCCTCGCTCTCCGGAGCGTGCCTTGAATGGGAGGATGTATCAAGAGATTGAGCTGGGGGCAAGGAAGGCTAATGGATGTATCCCAATTTCCAATGTCTATTGCCACTGCCAATCTCCTTCCTCGCCTCTCCACTCCATTTTTTTTTCTGTCCCCGTCGCAATCCCCCAATTTCTATTCCGTCATTGAGTGCCTCTTCTTTTTCCGTGTCGTTTCTTATTTCCCACATTTCTTCCGCGCCCACAACAATCATTTTCCACGTCTGCTTTCAATCGCTCCGCCGTCAATTATGCAGTGTGTCACCAATTACTTTCCCATTATCCTGCCGGCGTGTACAGTCAGCCACTCGGTAATTCAGAGGATCTCATTTTTGTATTATCGTTTACATTTCAAGGGTTGCTGGATGCGGAAGTTCCCGATGCGGGACAGAGCCACCCGCCGAAAAATTTGCCGTTTTTTTTTTTTTTTTCCTTTTGCGTGCCAAGCACTTCGGCAAGCACCCCCTGTGGTTTGGGAATGTAGGGCGACAATAGGTTCATTGAAATTGAGGGGGTACACACACTTCCACCGTCTCCATTATGTTTCGGATTATTTGTATTCACGGCGAAATGCGCGCTGGGGAAACAAAATAAATCAAATTCTGGCAGAGAACACGCAGGGAGAGGCAGAGACGGCGGGGAGACGAACTGAAATTCAGGTGATCTGAAAATGCCTCCTTGGGTTATCTCGCTGTGACACCTCCGGCGGCGCGGCGCCATGGCAACCTGGTAAACGTGCAATGGCAGAACTATATCATATTGTGGTGAGCGATGGAAGAAGAGCGGGGGATGGGGGATGGATGTGGGGGGGGGGGTGGCGGAAGATGCGGGAGGTTCTTTTGATGCCGCTGCTCCAACACTAAACAGCCTTTCATCTCGGCTGTGCAAAGGCCCGCAGGGGACGCCGGCTCCCCGCTACTGACGGCTTCTTGACGCACCAACTCCACC